CAGCTGCCTCCCTAAATCAACAAACATCAATAAAAAATACATAGGAAACTGAAGTTCTGCCCCCCCCCCCAACAAAAGGCCTGCCCCCAGCAAAAATCCTGGCTACACCTATGGACAATATGCAACACTCCTCCTTGGTTATGGTTCAGAATACGGGCCGCTGAAAGGCTAATTGCCTCTGCAAGGGGAACAGTCTCATCTGTCCCCAATAAGTCTTAAAATGCGGCTGAATCCTGCCGTGCCAAATCCAGCCAGGTGCCTGAACCAGGTTTTTGCTCTGCTCCTTCTCCAAGCTGAGCCGATGTCTCCTGCTCCCTCCCACCTCCCAGGTGGGAGAGGCTAGACTGCTTCGTTTATGATGATGCAATGCTGGGGCTTGTGGCCAAACTATTCTGCAGGATGCAGGTTGGTCCGGGTTTTACCTTTGGTTCGCTGAAAGGGAGTCTCTCTCTCTCCTTCTCTCTCTCTCTCTCTCTCTCTCTCACACACACACACACACACACACCCCTTGCATATTATTTCATCGCTTGCGCCTGCTCCTCCATCGAACGACAACCGAGGGCTTCTTCCCAAAGGCTTTAGGGCTGCGATCCTGTATACGTTTCCTTAGGAGCAGCAAGGCCCGTTGAACTGAGTGCGTAAATAGCACAACACGGGACTGCGCTTCACAGGCTGCAGTCGTAGGCGCGCTTTAACCCTGGGAGTCAGCTCCATTGCACTCAGTGGGATTTACTCCTGAGTAAGCACACACAGAGGGACGCGGGTGGCGCTGTGGGTTAAACCACAGAGCCTAGGGCTTGTAGATCAGAAGGTCGGTGGTTCAAATCCCCGTGACGGGGTGAGCTCCCTTGTTCAGTCCCAGCTCCTGCCAACCTAGCAGTTCCAAAGCACGTCAAAGTGCAAGTAGATAAATAGGTACCGCTCCAGCGGGAAGGTAAAGGCGTTTCCGTGCACTGCTCTGGTTTGGGGATCTCTGATTTAAATTCTGGTTCGCCAGAAAGCGGCTTAGTCATGCTGGCCACATGAGCCGGAAACTGTACGCTGGCTACCTCGGCCAGTAAAGGGAGATGAGCGCCTCAGAGTCGTTGGCGACGGCGACTGGACCTAACGGTCAAGGGTCCCTTTACCTTTAAGCACGCACAGACTGGGGCTGTGAAAGGACGCGCGGATCAGGTTGTCGACTTGGAGAATAGTGCCCATTGAACGTAATCGGCCTTACTTCCGAGTAAAGGGGTGCCCTTCCGCTTCGATTCCAGCCTCCTTGCAACCTCTCCTTTTTTTCCTTTTCTGTTTTTTTCTGCTTGTGTGTCTCACTGCCTGAAGGAGAGACCCAGCCCACCTTGTTACTAAGGTTTCCTGGGTTTCTTCTCAGGCTTATTAAAGGGAGGCGCGTCTCCGCACAAACAGATCATTATTAAATTCCCTGCCACCCACCCCACCTCCGCGCTGCCACCGGCGCGGCGGGTAGGCGAGCGCAGTCTCGGTGGATCGGAGAAGTAGGAGGAAGAAGACGAACAAAGCTAGTCCATTGATCTGTTCTCTCCCCCGCCCCCCCCAAAATAATAACCCTGGATTGTGGAAGCCCATTTCGTTAGCGGGAGCAAACCTGATGCAAATCATTAGGTTGGGCTCTCAGCATCTGGACTATGGGATGGAGGTAGGGGAGGGAGAGGAATACAGGAAAGGCAGCAATTTGCTAGCACAGTCTTCCTCCACTGCTGCCTTCCAGATATCTTGGGCTACCACCCCCATCACTCTGGCTGAGGTGACTGGGCGTGGTGGTCCAAAACATCTGGAGGAAACCAGGGTGGAGAAGGCTACCCCAAAAGGCAAAGAAAGCACCACTGAACTTATGGGTACTGTTCCTTTTCTTAATGCAGGGGGTAGTCAGTGTGGTGCTATCCACATGTTTGGGACTACAGTGTACAGCCCACAGTGGCTAGGACTGATGGGAGTCCGCCACTGGAGGGTTCTACACTGGCTGGCCCTGTCTTAATGGAGTTTGGCAAGCTGCACTTGGAGCTTCTTGGTGGATGTTTGCCTCCATTTAGAGTCAGCAACTGGAGGATCATCAGCTAAGTTGAGACTCTATGATTCTGTGATTCCTGGAAAATCCAAAGGAAGGATATTCCATCCAGCCCAATATTGTGTGCTCTGGGGGTATTGTTTGTCTACAATTCCCATCTTCCCGGTCCATTGGTTGCACGGGTTGGGGCTTATGGGACTAAGAGGACCACCAATTCCCACTTAGTATTCCCGCTTGTATTAAGTTTTTAAGTTTTTATTTATTGAGAAAAAAATATATACATATAAAACATAGCTATTTCAAATATTAAAATACAGAGTTCTTTCAAACCCTTAGATCTCCTTCCCTCCCTCTATGGGTTCCATCTTTAAGATTAAATTTACTGCATCTTTTACCCTTCTCTAACTATTACCGGTATATAACCATAATTACCATTAAAACAATTCCACATTACAAGTGTCTTTACATCCCTACCAAAGATTTTAACTCTTTACAGTGGGCTTTTAAGTAAATTACAAATTTACTCCAGTCTTTAGAAAATACTTGATCTTCCTGGTTTTGGATCTTCCCATCCATTCTGCCATTTCTGCATACTCCATCGGTTTCATCTGCCATTCTTCTTTTGTTGGTATTTCTCCTTCCTTCCACCTCTGGGCTAGGAGCATTCTCGCGGCCGTTGTTGCATACATAAAAAGTCTTTTTTCTTCTCTTGGAAACTCTTCACCTATACTACCTAGTAAAAAGGCTTCTGTTTTTTTAACAAATGTATTTTTAAACATTTTCTTAAGTTCATTATATATCATTTCCCAGAAAGCCTTTACCAATGTACATGTCTACCACATATGGCAAAAAGTGCCCTCTTTCTCTTTACATTTCCAACACAGTTTACAACTTGTTTTGTACATTTTAGCAATTTTACTCAGTGTTAGATACCAATGATACATCACTTTCATATAATTTTCTTTCAACAAACAGCATACAGTAAATTTAATTTCCTCTTTCCATAACTTTTCCCAGGATGAAAGTTGGATATTATATCCAAAGTCTCTAGCCCAATGTATTCCTGGTCTGCTCTGATCAGCAGTGCCCCTAAGGCGTGTCCAGCAGAGATATTTCCCATCCATCCCCTGTTTCCTAGAACTTTCATCTAGAGATGCAAGGGATTGCGATTAGGACCTTCTGTAGACAAAACACATGTTGCATGCCAGTGTAGGAAGCCATGGTGTTTCAGAAGTTTTTGGACTCCCAATTCCCATCAGCCTCAGCCAGCATAGCCTATAGTTATGGATGATGGGAGTTGTAGTCCAGCAAAATCTGGAGGGCCACAGGTTCCCCACCCTTGCTAAATATTGAGCAATGGTCCCTCCCTATGGTGATGCCTGATTCCTTTCATTGCCAGTTTAACAGCGAAAGAGACATGTGGCTGGAAGAGCTGTTGCAACAATGAGACTTACCAGAAGATTTCCTTGTGGTTTTGAAGAGCACCACCCCTCTTCTATCTCACATTTGCACCCTTCTCCCAAGGAGCTCTGAGTGGTACCTGTAGGCCATTGTAGGGTTATTCCAATATTATTTTCACAATGACTCTGTAAGGCTAGTTAAGCTGAAGGAGTGTGAATGGCTGATGGCCCATCATGGCTTTGCCAAGCCAAGTCCAATGTTCTATCACAGCATGCCCTCTTAGGGAAGGGACATGAGCTGCTAACCATGGGCCTCATGGCTTTATATGGTAATGAAAGGGTGGTCTCTCCTCCAGTGACCACTATCCGGAAACACTGTTGTTTCTCAAGCTGGGCTAAGATGTGGAGGATGTGCAGTGGTGAAGAAAAAGTACTGGCATCTAACAGAGTCTATGTGGCCTTCCAGATGTTGCTGAATTATAACTGCCATCATCCCTGGTCATTGGCCATGCTGGATGGGTTGATGCAAGCTGGAGCCCAATAACATCTAGAGGGCTCCAGGTTAATCAGCCCTGCTTTAGATATTCATCTACCACACCAAAATCCCTTCAGCCTATGTCCTTCTTTCATCCTTATTTTGTATGCATCTAAAGCCTAATGGCCAGAAACATATATGTGGACTGTTCACCTGTATGCATGGAATGAGTAGTGTCCAATGAGTACACACGGCCATGGATTTGAGTACAGTAAATGCATGTCTCACTGCACAATTCTACAAATGCCTAATTGGAAGTAAGTCCAGTTGAGCTCTATGGATCTGGCTTCCCAATAAGTGGTAAAGGATTGCAGCCTGACAGCTGTAATTACTTGGGAGTAAGTCCCAACTGAAATCAATGGAACTTGCTTCTGAGTAAATAATGTTGAATTAAACTGCATGTCTCATGGACTTTCACTGAGTTTCTTGTTAGATTATGCTAACATCCTAAGCAAACATATCCTGGAAGTAAGACCCACTTAACTTGCTCTTGAGTAAATATGCTTATATATCAGAATGTGTCAGTGCATTTATGATTTCAGCCTTGAAAGCAACTTCTATCAAAATGACTGTATCCTCCTAAGGGAACCTGGTTGTGATTGTAGCATTAGTTTTAAGAGACGCTTTTCACCTCCTTCGTTTATTTATTTTTTCTGCCTTTTGCGCCAAAATGACCTTCATTGTATTTTCCCTCCTTCCCCCTCCACCATTTTCCCCCTTTGAAATAAAAAGAGTTCAGTGCCATCTAGTGGGGGAGGGGGTTGGGAATCCAAAAGCAGCTGCCTTTTTTTCTGGGATCAGTGGTAGGCAGACAATGTAGAACAATGGCTTTTGCCTTCCCCTTTTTGTGGCTTCTGGGAAGTAAGAGCTAATTCACACAAGACAGACGGATCTCAAACCGTTTACCTGGAAATCTGCCTTTGAGTTAGATGACCATCTAGCTCAGAAATGTCTGCCTTCTCCAACCCAGTGCTCTCCAGATGTTAGGCTCATAGAACTGTAGAGTTGGAAGGGACCCTGCAATGCAGGAATATGCAGCTGTCCCATACAAGGATTGAACCTGCAATCTTGGCATTATCAGCACCATGTTCTTACTGACTGAGCCATTCAGGACATGTTGCTGGACAACAGTCTGACAATTGACCATACTGGCTAAAGTCTGATGGGAGTTGAAGTCCAAGAACATCTGGAGGGCCACCGGTTCTCCATTTGTGGCCACCAAGGACCAATGTGGCTGTAGCACAAAGTGAATTCACTTTTATTTGGTTCAGGGCTGACCTTTATGTTTTTGAGCATGCTGACTGCTGTTTGGGAGCACATCCACCCACACATTCCTCTCTAGGAACCCTATTTACCTCGAGCCCTGTGAGTCTTGGCATAACTGGGGGAAAGAGGAGAGAAACACCAGCTGTGATTTATTGACTGGCTTTCAGCCTGGAGATTGCTATTTGAGGAGCCCTGCTGTGGGTTAGCAAGCAGCTGCCAGTGGTCTGCCCCAAAGAGGATGCTACCGCTTTTGGAGTCACTACTTTGGTGTTGCCACAAATGTGCAAGTGCCACTCTCTTACGTTTATTTACGGGACAGCCTCTCTTGGTACACCCCGCAGAGGACCTTAAGGTCCATGAATAGTTTAGAGGTCCTGGGCCCTAAGGAAGTCAGATTATCCTCCAGGGCCTTCTCAGTGATGGCTCTGACCTGGTGGAATGCTCTGTCCCATGAGACCAGGGCCCTGCAGGATTTAACTTCCTTCCTCAGGGCCTGTAAGACAGAGCTATTCCACCTGGCTTTCAATTTGAACTTAGCCTGATCTTTTATTCCTTCCTTCCCTCCCCCTCCCCTTTTTATGAAGATTACCCACTCTGGGATCCCACAGATAATTCTCTCCTGGTCTCCTTGCTGGCCCAAATAGGACTAATTTAGCCAGCTAGCCCTGGTGATCATCTAATGTTTATTGGGTGGATTTTCCCCCTAAATTGATTTTAGAATTCTGAATTTATTGTTATTCACATTTTATACTGTATTTTATGCTGTTTTTTGTTGCATCAATTAGTGTTTTAAATTAGTTGTTAGCCGCCCTGAGCCTGGTTTTCTAAACCAGGAAGGGTGGGGTATAAATAAAATTTATTATTATTATTATTATTATTATTATTATTTGCTGTGTTGCTAGTGTGGGAGATTTTTTGCTGTGGATGCGCAATGTTTCATGCCACTCAGGGCAAAAGCCGAGGTGGGGATGAAAGGTGGGAGTCCATTGGCACAAAGCGAGGGGCTCTTTGTATGTGAAACAAAGGGAGAGTGAGTCAGCTGCCCCAGATAAGAGATGAGATGGGAACCAATGCTAAAGACCATTTGTTCATTTCATTCAGTTGGATACAATTTTCTCTGCCCAGGTTAAACTGGAAATCTTAACAGTTGTCCTTACTGCAGTTTATGAAGAGGGTGGCAATTTGTTTATGTTGTATATTGGATTTGCCATTATGGATTCTGCATTTTCTCTCTGTCTCTCTGTCACTGTGTGTATGTAATTGTATTTCTTTGTGCCCCACTCTAGGACTGAAATATTCAATGAAGAGTGGGTTATAAATAGAAATAAAACAGAAAAATGATCATAGTGCCAAGCATATAGTCCTAAACTCCTAGAAAAGGAAACTTAAAAGGAGGGGCAGAACACCCTTTCACTGTGTTGTAACTACCAATTTGTTTCACATATTTGAATGGAGCAGGTTGCAGTAGTCACAGGGGAAGGTAGCTATGGCAAGTTTGGAAGGGAAGAGGCAGCACAGTGGGGTAAAAGATGGGATCTGGCCCAAAGGGAAAACTCAGGGATCAGCAGGTACTGTTAAGAAAGGAACCCTCTTAAAAGTTTTGACCAGCTGAAAGCTATAAGATACATTAAAGGCAGTCGGAAACTCCCTCTGAATAATGCATAACTCCAGTCATAATTCATGGTGTATGAATATTTGCTAGCTCTATGCAGTCTCTGAGGCTGTGTGAATGAATGGGCTCTCTTGCCTTCCTTCTTTTCCTCTCTGCCTTATTTCCTAGCAGGACTATGTTTTGCAGGACCCTTCGCCAAATGCATTAGAACAGGCATAGGCAAACTCCAGCCCTCCAGATGTTTGGGACTACAATTCCCATCATCCCTGACCACTGGTCCTGTTTGCTAGGGATGATGGGAATTGTAGTCCCAAACATCTGGAGGGCTGGAGTTTGCCTATGCCTGCATTAGAAGAATCCTGCTGGTTCAAGCGCCCCTGCCGATCCAGCATCCTGTTTCTCACCTTGGCCAACCAGATGCCTCTAGGAAGCCCACAAGCAGGGTGTGAGAATAATAGCCCTCTTCCACTGCCTCTTATCTTGGGAGTAGCATAGAGCCATTGTGACCAGCAGCTTGGGATGGAAGGAGGCTGTGATTTCCATCCCGTCCTGTGTTTGCTGCTTCCATTCCACTGCAGTTCATATTCCACAAATACCATCTGCTGTGGCTGAGCCTAATGATGTAATTATAGAATAAATTTCAATGAATGGGGAAACCTAAAAGCTATGCAGAAAATAACACAACGATTTACATAGCATTTATGGACTAAAGGAGACATGGTAGCAAATGCCACTCGTATACACTTGCATGGTTTCCGTTCCTGGCCTCCAGTGAAAGTGCAGCAATTTCTGCTCCTGTTTCCATTTCTGACTGAATTCTCTAGCATTCCTACTAGCAGCCGGTGAATTTCCCTAACTGCCTTTTTAAGCTATTAAAGTTGGCGACCCTCAAACATTCTGCGGCAGCAAATTCTATATGCACTGTGTGAAGAACTACTTCCTTGTCTGGCATCTCCTATCACTGAGCTCCATTGGACGATCCTGGATTCTAGAACGACCCCTGGCTGGGTCATCTCAGTAGTGCTCCGCCCCCTCGGAACACTCCAGAGACATTTCAGTGGGAGTGTTCCCATTGATCAATGTGAATTGCACCCACAGACTCATTGAGAAATAGACCTGGAACTTAATCCTGCCTCTCTCGAGAATGAATGCCTCATCTCCACAATGCCAGCCCCAGCTGGTGACTTGCTTTGCTGTGAACGGCTGGCATCCAATGAAATACAAGGCAGCAGTTATTTTTAGTCGACATTTGTGAATGTTAGGAAATTGCTATAGGAGGTCTGGAGTTGAGAGAAGGAAAACAAGAAAGAAAGAAAAATCCCACAGACCCAATGAGGAGCGTTTCTCCAAAGTTCTTTATATTTGTAGGAGGACAGAGAAGGAAAACCTCATTCTTCTCTATCTTTGCTGGCAGCTAGTCCCAGCTGAGGAGCTTTACTCAATAGCATGAAAATATCTATAAGAACAGCTGATGCCGAGGATGGGAAAAAATCTATTTATAAAAAGCCTACTGCATCCATCTACAAGTTTTGTATTTTTCTCCTCCCCATGTTCCTTAGGACTGGATCATTTGCATGAAAAATGCACTCCGTCATTCTTCAGAGTTCATCTGTGCCTGCAGCTTCTGCTTTCCCACCTGAAAACCTAATAGTTTTGTGAATATTGTAATGGGTTGCTGTAAAAATGATTAGATCACAAAGCACAGATTATAAATTGAGGCGGTGGCAAATGCACAGAAAGGAGAGAGGAATTCTCAAAGTGAAGAAGACCTGTTTTCCCCACTGAATCTCTTAAGCCACAATGAAGAATGGAAGAAAAGGTATAGGAAGAAAAATACTTGAATATTTTCAGCAGCGTTGGTGCTGCCCAAAATGGTTTCTTGTTGTAATTACCTAATGATGGAACTAAGGCCTTACACCCAGAGGCTGTGTGTTCCTTGAAGGTGGGTCACTGAACTGCCATTGTGAGGACTACTCCATCAATCCTAGTCATAGGAACCAGCCTTATCCTGAGCCAGACCATCAATCCATCTAGCTCAGGTTTGTCTACACCGGGGTAGTCATGCTTTTTATACCTACCGCCCACTAATGCATTTTTCTTGATGGTAAAATTTCCTTACTGCCCACCAGTGCTCGATGGAAGGAGGATTCAGCTTGTGCCGTAGAACCCCCTACCGCCCACCTAGAATCCTGAAATGCCCACTAGTGGGCGGTAAGGACCAGGTTGACAATCCCTGGTCTACACTGACTGGCAGCCATTTTCCAGCGTTTCTGGCAGAAGCTTTCCCCAGCCCTACCTAGAGACTGCTAGGGCTTGAACCTGGGACATTCTCCATGCATGCAAGGCAGATGCCTCAACAAGGAGCCTCCATGTGCCTTTAGACCAGCAGTTCTCAACCTGTGGGTCCCCAGATGTTGGACTACAACTCCCATCATCCCTGAGCTCTGGCCTTGCTAGCTAGGGGTGATGGGAGTTGTAGTTCAACAACATATGGGGACGCACAGTTGAGAAAGGCTGCTTTAGACTATATTTTGGTACTAAGGCTGAACCACAATAAACATTAGGGATGAGGTTAGCATGGCAACATAGCCCCCCCCCCCCCCCGAAAAGTCATTGCAATGCGTTCCCTGTCAATTTAGCATCCAAAACAGGGTGTGGAGGTGGTGGACACAGGTACTGAGCAAAGTCCTTTCCCTAAATCTGAAGTAAGTACAGGCAGATGTTTACAATTGATGCTCCTTGACCTACACTTGACTCAACCTTATTGGTGCAAACCACTGCGATTTTATAACTTAGCTAGTTATGGGTAGAGGCGGAGGGCTTGGTAAGTATGTCTGTAGTTCCTTATCCTGGCATCTGAAGGTGTGATTGATAATTCAACTTAAAATGGATGTTGAAGTTATTTCATCTACACCAGCAGTCCCAAAATAATGCTTAGACTCCATAGAGCACATTTCAAACAGTCCAGAGTGTTTCACATACATTATAGCTTCCTTATATAAGTATACTATAGACCTGCCTCCGACTAATGATTTATTTTACTTCAAAGCTATTACAGGCCTGGATGACAAATGGGAGCAATTACTCCAAATGATACACCTTGGCTTAACCCTGGGGTCCAATCCCCCTCTCCATCTCTCCTGGCTTCCCAATCTTTTGCAAGCCTACACCAGTAATTTGACCAAAAGGATAGATGCACAAGTGTGGGGTAATTTATTCTCATCTTAGAAGCATGC